CCCCATGAATTAAATATAAAGGCCGCGCCGCCCCGCGGAGCCCGAGCCCGCGGCGGCGTCCGCGCCCCAAGGGCGAGCGGCCGAGAGAAACCGCGAGCCCGAGCGAGCCTCACGCGGAGCGAGATGCAGCCTGTGTCTCTCTGCTTCCCTTCCAGATGCTGTAATGAGAACTCATCACTTTCGCTCTGAGGTAATTTATTTAGCACGCAATTTCAAGGTCAGAAGTTGTTCTCTTTACCTGAGTACAAATTGTTAAAGTCTTTTTTTTTTTTTTTAGTGAAACCACGTACAAACTTTTTATTTTGCATGAAAGACAGAATGTCTTTTTTTTTTTTTTTTTTTAATGAAGTGTGCCACGCAAAATGTTAGCTCTCCATTCGTATTACCCTACCTGGCCTACTGATTGGTGTTATAGCTGAAGCAATTGGTTACTTTAAGAAGAGCTGGGCTTATTTTATGTGCCCATCCTACCTCTGTCCAAAAACCATCCCCAAACCCAGTTACTGACCGCACCGTAACTATGTGCGGCGCTGGCACGTTTTGCGACTGCGGAGCTTGCATTTGTTTGCTGTACTGCCGGTCCTCACCTGTGTGTCACTCACGTGCCGGGAAAGTTGCCTGCTTCTCTCGAACGCCCCTGGCGAGATCCCAGAAGGATCCAGGCTTCGAGCTTGAGAGATGCCTCATTTCATGACTGTCTTCACAGGTCAGGGGAACTGAGACTCTTACACGCCAGTGATAAAAATATAACATAAAAAAGAGTCACTTCCTAGTGATTTCAAATGAAGAGCCTAATTGCTGGAATAGGGGAAATAAATATTATTTTAATAGCTACTTTTTCTCCGTGCTGCTCTGTAGAGCTCCTGTCTAGCTAAATCTCTTGCCAGGTTTCTGGCTTCTCATTTAAGGCATGTCTTCATGCCTACTACTCTGGAAGCTTTTAGAGAGTTTTGCATGAAAATGATCTTCTTTAAATAATTCACATTTTTTCCTTACCCGGTTGTGGGGATCATGGGTAATGTTTTCAAAAGTGTGCATGTGACACATTTTTGCAGCATGGTTCATTTTGGAAATTAGATTTTAAACTCCTAAATATTTTGAAATTTGCACCAAAAGCAGATCACTTAGGGAGTGTAGTTAGTGGGAGAGGCCTCTTATCTTTAGACCATAAAAAGTCTATTTTTCTTGTTTTCATAGTGAAACAATTAGTGCTGTTGTAAAGTAAACCAGAAAATGTGTCCCGCTGTAAGTCAAAAAATGTGGATGATTTAGTTCTACCAATATATTTGATTTCCGTGTAAAATTCTCTAAATATGGACCTTGGATAGAAATTAAGTTTAATGTGTTATATGCTGTTGAAATCTGTATAGCTGTGTATAATGACTCCTAATTTGTCATTTTCAAACTTCCCTTTTATTTTATATTAATCCAGCATGTGGTTATTTGTATATCGCCCAGTTAAAAATAGACATATTTAAAATATTTCCTAGCAGTTTCCATTTACTGGCATATATTAGAATAAAACAAGAAGAACTTTTATATTCTTTTACATTTTCTAAATTTTGTTAAGATAGAATAACACTGTAGCAAATGCTGTTAACTGCCCATTCAGAAACTGGTGGAGCTATTTTCCTATTCATTCTCAAGTGATGCAGACTTTCGACTCATAAGAGAAAATGATGACTCATTTGACATCATAAAATTTTCATTCTCCAAAGTTTTTTCAAGAAAAAACTTATTTTAATAAGTCTAATTTAATCGATTAATAACAAATTACGGGCATACTCTCATGAAAATTGGCAGCATCATTTGAAACAGAATTTGGCCTTCTTTTTCTATATCAGCACAAACTATTATGCACTTCCAACTCCGCTAAGACGTTGATGAAAGCAAAGCATGACGTATGAAAGTATGGGCTTTACATAGTCTTTCCCAAAAAGTGAATATCACATCTCAGCTCCAAGTTTTATAGCACAAGGTCCAGCTGCTAGCCTCTGCTCTGCTTAGTTATTTGTGAGACACAGTTTTGAATGGTGATAAAAGATAATGAAAAATAGGTCCATCGCAAATAGCAGTGGGTTGGTAATTCATCTCCTGAGAGCTGGGTTCAAATAAGTCTTACATCACACGTGAACGTGCAGGTGGTCTAGTGGCAGTACACAGAGAATTATAATTGCCGTTATCTACAGAGCCGTTGGCAATTTCTGCATGATTGGCGGTCTGCCAGGAAACCCCTATATTTGGAAAAATACATGTGTAGCAAATTTACGTTGAAATTCTTTGCCAGAGCCATAGCTTTCATGGTGCATGCTGACATTGTCCTTGTTTCTAGTGAGGGCTATTAATCCCTTCCTTTCTTTAGTACTGAAAAATTAACCCCACATTAAAAAAGAAGACCTCATACTATGAAGTAATTCTAATTTTACATCTGATGAATTACAAAAAGGTAAATACTAAACTTGAAAAGGATCCTTAGAAGGATGCCCTGTTTTGAGTATTATATACTGCCGGTGAATTTAATCCACAAATACTTTGTCCATTTTTGTGCATTTTGATTTTGAATATCTCTGCAAAGCATCTATCTCATTATTATGCTGCAAGAATCTATGCACATATTTCTTATTGTCTGAACAAACTTAAACAATTGACCTGCTGCCTCGAGAGCAAGTAAATTTGCATGAATCATTATGAATATAAAGTAGGTTAAAGGCTGTCTTTGTTAGAGGTGCTTCATAACAGAAAGATTAACCAGCAAGAAAATGTGAGAGTTTACGAGATAAAACAGTGCTGTCTCCACCGCCCCACTAACTAACTTTCATTTACTGTCTATTTGCTATCATCTTCAGACCTGTTTTTGGTATGTCTTTGGCCTCCATAATTGTTACAGTCCTTTAAATGCATTCTGACTATAAATGCTCTTAAATTTCACTCCGTTCTACAGATATTAGAGATGCTCCATGAGCTAACATAGGAATCACACCCAGAAGAGTTAATGCTTCTAAACTGAGGTAGACCTAAATATGCCATCGCTGCAAAAAGAGAACAAGTAAATTTCCAACAGAAATATTCATCGCTTACTTGACAAATCAGACTTTGATGTAGTTATTTTGACTATTCTCTCCTTTCTTTATTCGGAGAATGAATTGTAGGATGAAGTGTCTGTGGTCAACTGAAATCATACCAAAGTAGCGATATGACTCAGTGGGAGCCTCACCGAAATAAGGGATTATGATCCATTGTGAATTTTTTTTTTTAGTTATTCTATATATATTCAAAAATCCAAGTGATATCACTGATTCACTTCATTTTTCTCTTGCTCGCTGTAGAGGTTTGTGGTTTCCTAAAGTGCAAGAATTTTCTCTGAGTACTTTCAGGGCTCGGGCTTGATACGTTTCAATGTATAGGAGCTTACACTTTACAAAGAGCTTTGAATGTCATCTGTACTTTATAGTTTAAAGGCATTTGTTTCATGTGTTTGTGTTGCCGTTTCTTGTTATTAAATTTCTTAGTTTTCTCCACTGGCTAAGCCTATGGAGTCATGGGATTATGTGAGATTTTTACCTTTCAATTAAAAAAGAAGTAAGCTTGTAGACCTGAGGCTCCTACGTCTCAAACACATGAAGGCTAGAGGTGTCTCAAAGGCTTTTAGAAGACTAGCCCACTATAACTAAGTGGCTAACAGAATTAATCCAATCCAAATTTTTAAACTCTAGTGATTTGAGGGTAAGACTTCTTTAATAGGAAGATCCCCATTCAGTTTTTTTTAAATACTTGGTTTTTGGTGAGATTGTGAAGGGATAATTGTGCTAATTGCTAAACCAGTAGCTGATGATTTTCATCTTTTGTCTGAATTTCTCTCTCAGCTTTACAGGTTTCCCTTATCGTACCATTTAAATTAGAAATACTATGATCTCAAGAACCGATGGCAGGGATATATATATTTGGTATCAGTGTCCGGATAGTCAGGAATAATACAGTATCTTTTCATTTTTATTTTATTTTGACTAA